TGATCTCGAGACAGACACAGAATGATGAGGCCTGCGCACCTCCCTGAGGGACAATAAACTAAAGATTATAACTGGTGTCGCCTGGCCCAGAAGTCGAGGTAGACATCAGTCACTGGGGTGGGTGACAGGACCTTCCTGACCCACCCCTTCCCGTCCTTTCCATGCACGCTTGCTGTGTGACCTGCTTCCCCCTGGATCAGCATTACCTACGCTGCTATGCTTGTAATCCTACTGGTCAGTCACGGTTTTGTCCCAGGCTGTATCCACCTCGTGATTTTGCTCTATAAAACTTTCCTTTACAGAGGCGGGCTCTTTGGCCACCCACTTGGGCCTTCTTCTATCTCTTAGGAGCCGTCTCTCTCAATAACATTTCCTACTGTTAACCTCTGTTGTCCCTTACTTAGCATTCTTCGGTCTTGGGGAACAAGAACTCAGTGCACCAGGTTGGGAGTTACGCTCTCTCGTGCCATCTCGAGCTCCTCTATCAGTACCGCGGCTGGTTCCCTCTTCCTGGCAGGCAAGTGCTGCTAGTGGAGGAGGCTTCACTGGCTTCTCAGGCACTTGCCAGGCACCTGATCAGCTAAGCCACTGAGGACGCACTGCTGTCACCTCTGTGTGCGCCCTTCCTCCTCGACAGCTCTGTGTGAGGGGATGCCACCGGGCCACATTTGCTGCGTGGCATCCTCACCTCTCATCCTCAGCCCTTGCTACCATGATAAGCCTATGCGCTGGGGCTGAGCCCCATCTCTAGTGGGCAGGCAGCTGGGGGTCTCTGGAGTGCTGGGAAGCGAGGGCCCAGAGCGGGGTGGGGTCTGGCTCTGCGCTTGGCCATCAGTCCCTATAACACCCTGGCATGGCTTTGTTCTCTGTGGCCCCAGCCTGCCATCCCGTGTGGGAAGACAGAGCCAGACAACAAGGCCCTCCCGTGGCACAGAGGCCCGGCAGGCGTCTGGGGTCCATACTCTTTCTCCTTTAAAATTTTAACGAAATGTCACATTATAGTATGTCACAATCATAAGGTTGACTTTTCTACAGCTTCTTTGTTTAAATTAAAGCTCTGGGAGTTCACTGTTGGGGGCGGCGCATGGCAGATGGGCTGCCCTCACGTGGTCAAACTGAACTTGGAAATGGGCCAGTTTCCTGGAAAACACGAGACACACAGCTGTAACCCCTGAGGAGGGACACTGAGACACTATGGCTTTGTCCCTCGTGTTTCTTGTCTGTTCCTACCCTCAACGCTGGCCTCCTCTGCCTGCCTCACACACTGTTTTATCTGATGAAATCTGCTGAGTCTAGGCTTGCTGTCAGAGCAGTGGCACCTCTAAATTACAGTTGGGATAATTGTGTGTTTTGACACAGGACAGTCAGTAGTTGGTGTATTCAGAGTTGTAGACTATCTAGGTACTCCATGATGCCCAGTGACCCCTTGCAGCCTGCTTCTCCAACCCTGGAGAGCACCACTTTCTCTCCTGTGTCTGTTCTGCCTGGCTCAAAATGACACAGCCATTGTATGATATGTGGCCTTCCTTGTGCAACTGGCTTAAATCCATGTTACAAATGAGAAAAATGGGGTTTAGGAAGTGCTTGCATTACATTTTGTATCTCACTGGTACAGGGACAGACCGTGTCATCTGTGTCCCTTGCATCCATGGCCCACGCAAGTTCTATGCATAGAGCCACAGGGTGACTGACGGAGGCTGGGCCCAAACCCTGGCTGTTGGCACAGCGAGTATAGCAGGCACAATGTTCCCGTGGGCGCTGAGGGGCCAGCGATACTCTTAGGTAGGAACGGACTTGTTTAGGAGAACACCCAGGGGAGGAGGCTTTGTAGGAAGCAAGGATGTGCAGTTGGCAGTGCCATGTGCGGTTTGCTCCAGAGTGGACCCTGGAAGGGAAAGATGGGGTGCTGTCTGGGGGTGTTGGCACAGGAGGGGAGAGAGGAGAGGAGCAAGCACCTGGAGAGAGCAGAGGGCCACCATATGGCGGAAGGCCTGAGATGAACACGATGGCTCCCGATGCCCTAAGCAGGGTGTCCTGCAGGGCAGACCCCCATGTTCATTAAGACCTTGGGCAAGGGTGGCCATATGGGGGATGCAGAGGCAGGCGGGCCTGCCAGGGGTCCTGCAGGGCAGTCTGAGGAGTCCTGACAATGGGGTGGCAGGCTCCCAGGTCATCCTGGAAGCCCCAAGAAAGGCCCTGGACCTCCAGCTTGGGTTGGACCACTCTTACCTGGGCCCAGCAGAAGTGGAGCTCAACCTGGGCGCCTGCAGACGCACGCTGAGGGGGCAGCTTTGCCCAGCCTGTGGAGGCATCTGCCAGGGCGTCCAGGGGGTCACTTCCAGGTACAGCCCTGGGGGCTCTTGGGTTCCTGCCCCAGACCCCCAAACCCCTAAGTGTGATTGGTCCCTAGAAGGGTCCCTCTGTTGAGTCCTGGGGGCTGACAGTGGGGTGAGGAAGACAGAGGTGGGGGAGAGCTGCGGTGGCTTCAGCACCACGGTGGGGTCTGAGGGCTCCACCTCTGATGGGGACAGAGATGAGCAATGGGGTCAGGGACGCAAGCAGCCGGCCCTCCTTGGTCAAGAAAGAGCCTAATTTTGTGTTCTACATTGGTTTGCTCCTTAGCAACCTACTGGTTTTCCTCCACAACCTGAAAACGAAGAATGAGATGAAATCAACCTTCAGGCCGGGCCTTCCAGCTCCGTTGGGAGCGCTGGCCTCATCCCTCCAGCGATGTCCTTACGCATGACAGAGCTCACATAGGCAAAGACAAATGCCCGAATCCAAGAGCCGCTATTCAAAGAATAGCACTGAAAAGAGCACTGTGACTTGCCCAGCGGTCACCAGATATTATCTCTTCTTCCATGGCAGTCAGCAGCCAGTTTTTTCAGGGAATGACACATACACTTCATTTCTCAGCACTGACTGTACCCTAAGCCTGGTAGGACCCCACTTTTAGCACTGGAACCCCCCATGACTGCAGAGGGCACAGCTGGACAGGAGGAATAGCACCTCCAGTCGACATCAACCATTGTGGATTTCACAGCAGCTGGCAGAGGGTCTTGGGTGCTCCCCACAGACGCGTGACGTCTAAGGTCGCAGACGAGCCCTATGTACCTGGCCATCGTGCAGATCTGGCCGTACATGCTTTGAGCTTTCACACTGTAACCCTAAGATGTGTACAACTGCTACATGTCATAGAACGTATATTTCTATCTTGGGAGTATCAGAATTACCCACAATGCCAGAATCCACTACTTGTCACAGATCAGTGTGCTGTAACCATGTGGCCCCTGCTGGCAGCCGCCTTAGCCTCCGCTCATGCACGAAGCACTGTCCCTATCATTGTTTCTGCTCATAAAGCTTTCTGAGTGATGCGAGCTGCAGCTGGAGCCTGGGAGGAAAGGCCCAGAAGGCCCTAGGCTAGTGGTCTGCCTCATCCAGGCTGCCGGGGGAGGGAACGGCTTTTTTTTAAAAATCAAGGGCAGTGTGAAGTTTGGAAGTCACATATCTGTCCTTGAGTCTGTGCTGTTAGGTGTGCGCTACAGTGAGCACTTTAATTCCAGCCCTAATGCCAGTCTCCTTCTCTGTCTGTACTGGGCACGCAGGCTGCGGGACTGGTCTTCTCTTTATGGTCCTAGCCAGTTCCAGAGAAGCTGAACACAGAACATACCTGCATGTGCATGTGTGTGCGTGCATGTGTGCACGTGCATGTGTGTTTGTGCATGAGAACTCTCCTGCTCCATGGAGCATGCTCCTAGCTGTGCCCGCCATAAAGCACACACAAGCACAGGCTGAGGGCTCGCTCTCCTGACCCCCACCTGCACTGACGGATGCCTGCAGAGCCTTTGTGCACCGGGGGACTTTCCACACCATCTCATAGATGCCTTCACGTTGGCCGGCCTCAGCGAGCCACCATGGTCGGCTTTACCAAACTAAAACTCAAGAGAGCGACTTGCTGAAGGCACGGAAACTGGGAAGCCGAGGTACTTGAGGTCACTTAACTGGAACAAGGCGCAGAGCTGAGACGCAAGTTTGGGGTTCCATGGGCCTCCTTAAGGGCAGTGACAAGGGGTACAGTTCCCTTGTGAACCTGAACAGAAGCTGATGTGACAATGGTTGACAATTCCCCACTGGCACCCAGCTTCCTGGGGACAGAGACGCCTTGCAGAGTGGCTTGTGCTGAGTAGGTCTCCACCTGTCTTAGAAGCTGGTTGTCACCAGTCACTGTCACATCCCCAGTCCAGGGAAGCAAAGGTAATTTCCAAGTTTCAGAGGGGTACCCTGGCTATTCAGCATGAACCCCTCTTTATCTGATGTAAGCTCTGCACACAGCGCGCCCAGAACACAGCCCTTCTGAGCATGTCTCCTTGGCCACCTCTCCCGCTCCCCACCACCTTGTGAGCCCTCCTGAGGCCCTGCTTCTGCTCTCGGGCTCTCCAGGCCGAGCGGCACAGGACCGCCCTGCTCGGAGCCATCTTCCTATTCCGCAGTCCCCATGCCTGGCATTTCAACAGTGCCCCAGAGCGATTCCTGAAATACTCCAGGAAAACGGCTGTGCCTCACCCTTTGTTTCTCAGCTGCTTTCATCCTTTCCTCAGACACGGCCACCAGAATTAGATGCGGTACTTGGGGTGTCAGGCTCAGATTCACAGCTTTGATAAATATTAGGCAATTAAGCTATTTATAAAATATGTAATTCGAAAATCTGGCATTTCATGCACTGTGATTATTTCCTCTCTGTGGAGACTCCGTGCCTGGCCACGTGGAAGGCACTGGCAGGAGGGAGCTTAAGGACGTTCATTTGTGAGCGCCAGCTACTTTCACTCCGCAAAGGAGCTGAGACAATGTCCTCCCCCCCCCCCAAAAAAAAAAAAAAAAAGCAAAGAGGAAGAGAGGAGGAGAAGATAAAAGCCCTAGAGCAAAGTGATGCACCGAGTCTCTTCCTGTCTGAAATCAGGGTTGCAGCGCATCGGGAGCTGGGGAGGGGACAGAGGTCCTACCAGGAGGTCCACCATGTTGGGCTTGTTGTTCCGCAGCGTCTTGACGGCGTGGAAGACGTCCACGGTTCTCTGGTGCCGGAGCATCTCGCAGACAATGCTGATGGCGCAGAACGTGCCACTGCGACCTCCCCCGTTCCTGTCACAGGAGAGAGGAAGGAGGGGGTTGGGTGACATTTACCCTCACGCTGCATGTCATCCCCCACCATGGAGGCCTGTCATAAACCCCTGAGGACCAGTCATGAGCTCCTCCGAGGCCACTGGACTCCACATGTGGGCCAGTTCTAGTTAAGCAAAGGGCACAGCGGGGGAGGGGGTGTTTGGCTCATAGTTCCCCAGGGCTGGGGGTCTCTCCAGCATTGCCTCAGCCTGAGACCGTGCTCCCCAGAGCGGCGCCTCGCTGATCTACATCACAGTCCACACTGGAACATCTCCAGTGGACAGGCATGTCCCCTAGTGTATCAGGTGAATTCTGCTCAAAGATGTGCCTAGCCATGAAACAATCTACTAGCATCTTACAATAATCTCTAAGACAGACATGGTCTAGTTAAGTCATCAAATTGCCCAGTCTGGGCTTGAACCTGCCACCCTCCTGCCTCAGTCTCCCAGAGTGCTGGGAGGACAGGTGTGCAACACCACCTCTGACCTACAGGAGGGCTATTTTAAGACAAAGCTTTTTACTTGAACTAATTCTAGATGTGTAGAAACACTGCACGAATAGTGGAGAACTCCCCTGGACATCCACCTTCCCTGCTGTGAATGTCTTAGAAAACCATGATGTGCCAACAAAACCAGGGAGTAACACTGGCACAGTCTCACACACTGTCCCAGCCCAGGCGCAGATGCCACCAGATCTCCATGCATGTCCTTTTCCTGGTCAGGGTTCAGGAACTGGTTCTCATCTTTCATTTAGTTGCCACCTTCGCTTCTTCCAATCTGTGACAGGTTCTTGGTCTCTCCTCGTCTTTTCTTTTTGGTACCAGGAATTGATCACAGGACCTCGCACTTGCCAGGCAAGCTCTGCACCACAGAGCTGTATTCCTGGCCCTCCTTGTCTTTCTCAACCCAGATGGGTTATTTTGAAGAATATGAGACACAGAGGACAGAATGTAGGGGAAGAAAGCACCAAAGGCCAACAATGGACTGCAGCAGACGGAACGCAGCCTGCCTTTCACCTGGATGGTCTGATGGCTTCTCATGAGTGGAAATGCAGCCACATCTTCAGGCAAGAAAATCGCAGAGGACATCTTGTCTTTCATGGAGTTCACCGTGTCAGCTACCCTGTTCTCGTTGATGTCAGCCTTGCTCATGAATGAAGGCAGCGTCTGACAGGCTGCTCACCTCCAAGCTGCCATCTCTGTGCAGTTAGCACGTATCTTGGGTGGAGCTACTCTGAACCCACGTGAATAGCTGGCTACTGCTCCCAGATCCAACGCTGACAGCACATTCACTGGAGGATCATATCTACAACAATTCAATTTTGTGCTTTGTTCCTTCTGATATTTGACCATAAGAAAGAAGTGTCTCTCCTCCCTGCTTAAAAATGTATTGTTTTATTTATAACAGTGTAGACATGGAAAAATATTTTATTGTATGAGCTAAAATTCAATAGTGCCATATTTATTTTGTTGTTCAAGATTTTCCAACTCTGACCCTCAGAAGTTCCATTAGGTTGGCTCCTGTGTTCTTGGGACAAATGCCTTTTGTGAACATTTTTGAATCTTCTGGAACCAAAAGACATTTCAGGTACTTCCTGTTTCCTAGACCAGCTGTGCTCTCCTTTTCCAAGGAACTAAGAGACCTTTCATTTTTTTTTTCTTTTTCTCGGAACTGGGGATTGAACTCAGGCCCTTGAGCTTGCCAGGCAAGCCCTTATTCCACTGAGCCATCTCCCTGGCCCCAGACCTTTCATTTTTAAAAACACAATAGTACTGTTATCCCCCAAATGAATATTACTGCTTCAATAAAATCAAATTTCTACCTAGTTCAAATTTTCTATGTGGTTTCTTACAGTTGCTTTTTAAAAATAACACATCTAAGTCTGCAGATACCTTTGGTCGATAAAGTTTGCACTTGTGATCTACACGTTCCTCTTTCTCCTTTATTCTTAGAAATGCACTGTTGAAGAAGTGGGGTGCAGTCTTCTGGAGAGCCCCGCATTCTGGATTTGTCTCGTTCACCGCACCTGTCTGGCATCTACCGCATTTGCGCTCTGCCTCTGTCTTGTAGATCAGAGGTCAGCACGAAGGCTTGCGAGGATCCAGGCGGGGCGGGCGGCTGGAAGGGCGCCGCCGCACAGCGAGGCGTGGTGCGCGCACACGTCCTGGGAGCGGCGCCCGCGCCGTTCGCGCTCCGCCCCTCCACGCAGCACCCGCCCGTCCCTCGTGGGCCGCGGAGCGGGGGAGCGCGGCGCGGTTGTGCGACGCGCGGGCCTTTCACACCTTCCTGCCGCCTCTTCTCGAGCAGAACCGCTGCACGCTGGTGAGCGAAACCCGGGTCCTGCCCACCTCCCGGGCCGGCGGTCGGCGTCCTGCCTCAGGCGGCGCTGGTTACCCGCGCAGCCACCTTCTAAGCTGTTGTTTTCCTCCGACGACTTTCGGTTTGTGGTCGTCTGGGAAAGACTTGGAGCGACAGCGCGGGGAGACCCGTGGCCAGCGTCTTCCACGGGCCTGCAGGGCTGGGGACCCTCGGGGCCGGCCCCGACACCGCTACCCTCCTACGAGTACCACAGCGCTTGCCACCCACTGCTCCCAGCAGCGTCTGCTCCTTCTGTTCAGGGAGCTCCGAAACAGCCGTCTCCTACTTCTCCGGCATCCTGACTTAGCCCAGCCGAGCGCGCCCTGCCGCCGAGGTCCGGCCTGGGTCCTGCGGGGAGCCTCGCCAGGCGTGCGCTGCCCACCACCACCAGGTGGCGCTGTGTCACGCCGACGAGGCCGCCTGACCCCGGGGAACCAGGCCACCCCGCCAAGGCCAAGTCTAACTTTATTTTTATTTTTTGGTGGAACTGGGGTTGAACTCAGGCCCATCTACTGAGCCATCTCCCGGCCCCTCAAACTTAATTTTTTAATAAAGAAAAAAATACAATTTTTTTTAACCTTAAAAATTTTATTTTAAACTGAGTATAGTGATAATTGATGATACCTGTAACATATGTATTGTTGAATGTTACCCTGCTTTTGTCTTTTATTTTTGTTCTTGGCTTTGTGTTTACTTTTGAAATAAAACAAAATCAGAAAAAAATACTTATGAATCTAAGCAAAAATAAAGCTCTTCTGCTCAGAGTGTCCTGGGAACAGGGCAAAAGGCAGCCCCGCAGGTAGTACAGGGCTGTTGGACTGGGGGACAGCCAGGAAAACTGAGGTGCCCTCCCCAGACGGCTGCACTGGCCTACAGGCGCCAGGCCCTGGGTTCCACTCGCAGCACGGAACAGAACAGCTCTGAAAACAAACAGATCGAATCCAAACTGACTAAAGTGTCAGGATTGCAGCTGAACTTTATCTACTCAGCGAGGGGAGCCCTTCTCTTCCTCTGCTCAGAGCTTAGAGACGGCCCTTTGGAGGACAGAGGAAGGGACACCCACTGGTGGCAGATGAGCATGGGGAAGTCCGACACTTTCCGAGTGAACTTTCCGAGTGAGTCCCTGTGCAAGACACTCCCGTGTTTGGGTGAGGCAGGGCAGGGCCCTGGGGCCAGTGGGTGACATGAGGGGCCAGGTGGACGGTGACCTGTACCCTCTGCGGAGTCTGTCGCTTTGGCTCGCCTGGTCCCCTCCCAGCGAGGCCTTTTTGCCTCCATGTTGCAGAGATCTCCTGTGGGTGTCTGCCCCCCTGAACAGAGACGGATGCGGAGGCTTCGAATTTCCAGGGATTCTCTGAACGTCATCCCTGACCGCCGTGGCTTTTTAGTTGGCTGAAGCTGGCACGGGCTGGATCATTGACTGCGGATCACTGCCAATGAGGAAAGGCAGGTGAGGGCTTGGAGAAGCCTGGTGTGCGCGCGCTCTTGACCCCCGCTGCCGCCGGGAAACACTTGGAGGTCTGGGCTCTGCTCCTGGAAGGCGGTCTCACAGGCGTGGGCGTGACCAGAGTGGGCACCTCACAGCTCTCAGGGGGCCCCACCCTGCGAGCTGGGCTTCCCCTGCCCTGCGCCTGAAGGCCCTCCCATTTGAGCCCTGCTGTCACCTTTGGAGTCACCCTTTCAGGACCCTGGCTTTGTGTCAGTCAGGTTTCCATCTGTCGTAGTCCCTAATCCCTTTAATCAATTTATAAGGAGAAATAGCTTCATTTGGCTCAGGTTTGGAGTTTGCAGTCCACGATGGAGGGGTCCTGTGGTAAGGGCTGATAGTGGAGGAGCTGTTCCCTTTATGGCCCAGGGGGCTAGGAAGGGAGGGAGGGAGAGACAACCCGAAGAGGTAGGGGGAGGAGGAGAGTGGAAGAGGGGAAAAGAGGAAGGAGGAGGGGAAAAAGGAGGGGGAGGGGAAAGGGGATGGGGAGAAGGCAAGGAAGGGAAAGGGGGTGAGGGCGGGAGAGGGGAAGAGAGGGAGGGACAGAGACTGGGACCCAGTAGCCCTCTCTGGGCCGAGTCCCTGAGGACCTTCCAAGAGGCCCCACCACTTTCCAATGTCACCACGCAGGGACCAAGCCTTGATCACCTGGGGGCTGAGGACATCTGTCTGGGCTAGGAACCACAGCAGGGTGGGCAGACCTCCCAATATGGAGTGCCCACCAAAATCTCCCATCCAACCACGAAAGCCAGAGAGACAGGGCTGTGAGACCCTGCTGTGGCTTCTGTGGATGGTCGGACAGTGCCGCGTGATGGCCCAACGGCCCTGGCTGGTGAGAGAGCCCGTGTGGCAGCACTGCTGAGCGCTGTGGATAAATCCTTCTGGCCTAGATGATTTTAAGTTACCAATAGTTTAGTGTCTAGTTCAGCAAATTCCTGAAGATGTTAGCAGTTGCTTCTCAGGAGTCAGGCGGTAGCCACGGCACCCAGCCGAATTGGCTTATGTGTGCTTGCATGTGTGTATGCCCTGTCCAAGGGCCAGTGGTTACTTCTGTGGCAGGGACACGTCAGCTGGGCTCACATGTCCCCCCAAAGTTCCTGTGTTAGCACCCTGATCCCCCAAGTCATGAATGGTATTAGGAGACATCAGGGAAGTTACTCCGGCTAGGTGATGTCCTAAGGGTCTCCATGGTGGCCTCAGTGACTTTGTAAGAAGACAGCTGAGCTAGCACGTGCTCTCTCCAGGGGACAACTCCGCCATGTGACAGGTGGCAGGAAGGCCCCTCAGCTGCACCAGTGCCTGTGCCTGGACTTCCCAGCTCCCAAAGCCATGAGCTAAATAAACCTCTACTGTTTACAAGTGACCTGCTCTTGGGTATTTTGTTAAAGCAATAGAAAATAGATTAAGACCCCACCCAAGGCAGAACACACGCTTGTTCCTGGCAAGGCACCTGCACCCTTAGAGAAGGGGTCACCCACTTCCTCCAGAGCCCCAAAGGTCAAAAGGCACAGCCCGAGCAGGCGGCCCAGCACTCACAAGCAGTGCACCACGGTGCGGCCCTCCCCGCCGTTGTACTCCTCCTGCCACTTGTCCACCTGGCGGATGAGCTTCAGGAAGGAGCGCTTGGACACGGGCGTGTCCCTGTACATCGGCCAGCCCAGGAACTGGAACTGCTGCACCATGCGGTATCCGTCTTGGGGCTGGGGGGGCAGGCAGAGGAAACGGGTTACTGCAGGCTCTTCCACCTGCTGCTCTTGCGGAGAGCAGGGCGTGGCTGAAGCAGAGGCTGGCCCGCTGGCACGGAATGAAGGCAGCTTCTCCAGGCCTCCAGAGTCAGGCTTTTTAATCTGGAGCTGCTATAAAGAGCCAGGTGTTTTCAATGACAGATCTGAAGTGAAGCGGAAAGTTTGTCTTTCTGCAGAAGCCAAGAGAACCTGACAACAAAAGAACTGGCCACACCGTGCACCATAAGGGGAAACGGCCTCGGCTTAATTACAGGTCGAGGTGTCTGCGAGTCCAGCGTGGCGCAACTTGCACACTTCTCGCAGCGCAAGATGGTCTGTCGTGGGTGTGAATCTTGTGATGGCAACAGTGCATTCGTCTTTAGTCAGGAGGAAGGGAGTGGCAGCCTTCTGAGTTCGTGTTAGAAAAGTGACAGCAGCTTGACTCTCGGGCAGGGACACTCTGTCCTCTGGGCCCTGCTTCCTCTGCCCTGTCCCGTCTAGCCTCCCATCTGCGGACCTCACAGAGCCGCGGCCTCAGCACTACTGGCAAGTCCTATGTAAGTGTCCCCAGTCCCTCCGACTCACAGTCCCCCTCCCCCACCGATTCCTGCAGCATCCTCCTAAACCTCCTGTGTCTGACCCCGACCCCTGACCTGCACCCCAGTGTCCCCCCAGGCCACCAGTCACTGTGACCAGCATCCCCAACTCAGCAGCCACCGATGCCATCACTCAGCCTGGCCCTTGGGTCCTAGTCTGCCTCCCCCTGCTGCCCTGCCAGTCATCTGTCATGGGGTCCTTCCCTGGGACCCCTCGCAGAGCCCGGTGGACCTGTCGTGGTGTCCAGGCTCAGCACGGGAGCCAGCATAGTCCTTCCACCACGTGGCTCTCCTCCAGGACCAGAGAGGAGCCCATTTCCTTGCGGGCAACTCTACGCTGGCAGCAGCCTCCAGGTTGGCAGGCTTCTCTTGCCCGACCCAGGCACCTCCCTGCAGGTGCTGGGCTGCGCCCTCCTCTCCACCTGTCCCTTCTCACACAGAGACAGGGCTGGCTGCGCCTTCGCACTGCCTGCCTGCTCCACTCACTTCTTGGGGCAGTGCTCCTAGGCACTTCCATTTAAGATAGAGGCTGATCCTCTCCTGTGCCTGGCCCAGCACCCTTCACTGCTGATTCTTTACCCCATATTTCCCACTTTCTGACTCGCTCTATCTCATATTTTAGCTGTTACATCAATTATTTATTGCCTCTCTAACAAAGGCACCTTGCTTGAGCAGGCTTAGCCCGGCTCCTGAACCATCTCCTGGGAGCACCTGTGCCCATTCTTCTACAACGCGGAGTTGGCAAGAGCCCCCCGCCCCTACTTCAGTACTCAAGTGGGCCCACCCTGCGCTGCTCCTGGCCTCTGGCTGCTGGCAAGGCTCCCCCAGGGTCTTCGCTGGGGCTCTCCCACCTCGGACCCTGACTGCTTCCTGGCTACCAACCCCACCTCTGCAGGCCACAGTGCAAGTCCCTAGCAGGTCCCCCATCCCTTGGGTCCTGAAAAGCATCTTTCTCTCTGGGCTTTACCACAGGCTATCCAGTGGCTTTGTCTTCAGCATGTCTCTAATTCTCTTTAGCACACAAGCTCTGTAAAGTCAGGGCCTGTTTTGTTCCCTGATGGTTTCAAGCCCTAAGAAGGAGCCTGCCCAGTGTCCTCTAGACTAGGGGATCACCAACAGGAGATTGCAGGGACAGCGGCGGGCCTGGCTCTTACCCTGGCTGCGTTATAAATCCGGAATATCCTGCTGATGATGTCCTCTTCCAAGTCGGCAGACACGAACTCCACCTGGATGGGGCCGTGCCTGTGCACGCCGTTCTCGGGCCAGTACTGCGGACACAGCTGAATTGAGGCCGAGAGAAAGCAGAAGCCTGAGTATCTTGGGGGAGGCTGGTACCGGCTGGCAGTGGTCTTCAGACTGGATTAGTTCCCTTCTCATCTTCCCAGGGAGCAGGCCTTAGGACTTTCCTGTCAGCCCACTCCTCGACTCCACCTGTCCCTCTCCTAGCACCTTTTCTTCATTCCCCCCAAAGCCTCTCTAGCCACGCATAATTCTGCTTTCCCGGAGGTCAGGAGGGTGCTGTTCCACACGCCCCTTTTAAGCTCTTTAATCTTGCTGGAAGGGGTTCTCAGGTGCTGGCCCTACAGAATCGAAGACAGTTAAACACATGCACATACCTACTGACTCCCAAATCTCTGGCCTGCCCACCGGACTTCTGAGAGCAGGTTGTTCTGTAGTAAGATTGAGGACCGGTGATGCAGTGTGCGTGGGTCACACCGGCACTCTACTCAAGCCCTCCCAGCTCACATCTGGCACCAGAGCACACACTTTGCTGTTTTACCTGGAGGTGCTTTAGATTAACAGTTTCCTCCAGTCTCCAGCTCCAGGTTTCGGTGCTACAGGGTCCCTGGAACTTGGGCATGAATATAACACATAGCCCAGTGAGCAGAGTGCTTTGGGGTGTGGTGGCTGGGGAGCAGGGTGCTTGCATCTGCTGTCACCTCAAAAATTCCTAAACTTGGAGACAGGTGGGGTAACAGCCTAAGATCTGCCTCCTTCAAAACCCTTCCCTAAATCTCTGAAGCCTTCCGAGGCATCGTAGTGTGAAACTGAACTTCTAGGGTCTCTTCTGAAGCTGTTTAATTTTTATCTTTTGGGTTTCCTTGGGGAACAGACAGCTTGTGGGGAATAAGAGAGAGAACCAGTTCCTTACTTTCTAACCTGTTGCTGCGGGGCCAAAAACTGCTGAGGGTCACTGGCTGGATTTCCTGCCTTGATGGCTTATTTTCCAAAGGGTCTAAAATCTCATTGTCGAATGTTATAAAGTCTGATTTGTATCCAAGATTATAGGAGAAGGTCCCAGTGATCAGCAGGTTAACAGGAAGCCCTCTATTTTATAAAGGAGTTCAAGGTTAGAGCTCATGATTAAGAATGGAAGCAGGAAACCAAGTGAATTTTTTGCATGTCAGTTAAATCTGCTGTATTTTAGAAATAACACTCATTTACTTCTAAATAATACTTCCATGAAATATTTTCTTTCTTGCTAGCAAGCACTTCCTGGTGACAAGTTATTAAACTGCTTTGTCAAACAATGGCACACTGACGTTTATTTTTATTCTGATACCCAAGGGTACCCACTGTTAAAATTAATAGGCATGATGATGGGAAGCCGAGATAGTAATGAAAGCCGTAACACGCACATTTGAGCTGCTCTGCCCATTTTTTCCTAGCTGAGCTGGTTCTGCTTTCTTCATATCACTGGAAGCGCCTGATCAAAAGCTTGTCCCTTAACCAGACGAGTACGGAGGGCCCAGGCTGGCTCCTGGCATGCTGTGCCTACACTCTGCCCAAGGAAGCCATGTAGAAAATGGCTTAAATGGTGCATAACTCATCCATGAACCGGACCTATAAATACTTAAAATAGCTAAGTGCTAGTCTCTTTTTAAGTGCTAGTCTTGTACAGTTGCAAAGCCTTTAAGTTCAAACGCTCACTTTAGTGTTCGCAAAGAGACTGGCTCCCACGAGCCTCTTTCCGCTCACTCTGAAAATCTGCTCTGTCTGCCAAATGAAATTGGAGACGTTTTGTGTCTCTCACAGCCCGGGAGCCAAGGCTCACTTGCTGTCCAGACAGTTTGGGTTTAGAAAGCAGCTTTAGAATGCAAATGCCACTGCTCACCAAGCACACACAAGAACCACGCGTGGCTTGTCCACTGATAGGGACTAAAGCAGTCTACACTGCCGCGTCTCAGACTTCACACTGGGAAAGATGTAGAGTAATCCAGGCCAGGGGTGAGTCCCTTGTACCAGGACTGCCTGTGACAAGGATGAATGAATCTATCTATCTTTCCTTTCCTCCCTTCCCTTCTTCTCTCTCTCTACATATATATGTCTGTCTGTCTGTCTGTCTGTCTGTCTATCTATCTATCTATCTATCTATCTATCTATCTATCTATCTGATACAGGGTCTGAACTGTGTAGTGATCCTCCGGTCTCAGCCTCCCCAGTGCTGGGATTAGAGGCATGCACCACACACCCTGCTCTGGGGCTGGCACAGTGTGCTTGGGATTCTAGGGCGAGCACAGCATGTGGTACCAGGGATTGAACCCAGACCCTTGTGCTTGCTAGGCAGGCACTTAGACGGCTGAGCTATCTTGCCAGCCCGACCAAGGTATCTTCACAGAGTGGCACTCAGCCTTGCAGGTCGGGCGGGGAGCGGGCCCTCGGCTCTCGCTGCAGTTGTAGCCTCTGTGCTCACGACTGAGGCACCTGCAGGGAGGAGCTCTAAAATATTCACGCTTCAGCCAAAAGGATGCGTTGAGAATAAGGATGATCATCATTTCATTAACCAGCGTGCAGACGAGAGCCTGAAGAACACACTGTTGTAAACCTCATGAAAAGCCACGCGCAGCCACCGACGGCCGGCGCTGCCCAGGCGGGTCATGGGAAGGAAGCATCTTGTTCAGTTTGGACACTGACATATTTCAGCAGTTTTAAAAACTAATTTTTCTGCTAGATATGAAATTGAAGCTCATCTGGCTCCAGAACCAGTGCTTCCTTAACACACGCGAAGTGCTAACTTCTCACGGTGGCCTTGTCAGAGCTGCCCAGGCGGGGACCTGGACGACCCCAGCGCCCAGCGCTGTGGCACTGGCGGCACCCTCTGTAGGAAGCTGCTGTGCGAAAGCCCCACTCCGCATCCCACCTCTCTTCTTTCTTGGTTTTCTGTCTTTTTGTTATTTTACCAAAGAATGGACAACACTAGCTGGGGTCCCTTAAACCCGCTAGCCCCGTCCACCACCCCAACCGCCGCTCTTCCTCTGGAGGCTCCCAGCGAGCGTGGCCGGGCAGGGCTGCTTCCTTCTCTGCGGTCCTCTGGCTGCCTGGGGAGCTGTGGCACTTGGGCCCTGCTGAGCTGTGACCTTGGTCTCGCCATCCCGTGGGGCCGCCCAATGCCCAGCCCTCCCTGCTTTGTGCCTTCTGCCGCTGCCTGTGCCCTCGGCCTGTCTTGGGTTTGCAAGGCTCTGGCTCCTACACCCCCGGTCAAGCCCGGCTCGCCACCTCCTGCTGGTCCAAGCCCAGGCACGGCCTCCACTTCTCAGTGTGCACATGCAGGGCCCACACCCAGGCACGGCCTCCACTTCTCAGTGTGCACATGCAGGGCCCACACCCAGACCCGAGGGCCAGCTGCGCCCATGACTGGTCGGGGGCCTCACCTGGGCAGGGTCCACGTCGTTCAGCATCACCACGGACGTGCAGTGGTAATCCAGAACCAATCTCCAGAAGTCTTTGACTGTGTTTGGCAAAGGGTGCTGGGTGACTATGAAGGCCGAGGGCTGTTTATAGCTCTGCACACAAACAAGAGAGGTGCAAATACAGCAGGAAAGTGGAAGCTGGGGGGCCGAGCACAGAGACGGGTGGACAGAATCCCAGACACGTTTAGCCACTACTGAATTCTGTCACCACTGTCAACATCAAAGAAGACCTAATATAAACTCATCTGTGGAAGAACAGTGATAAAATGGTCTCTTTCATACCAAGAAAATGTAATAGCCTGCCTACCAATTTTGAATATTTCTGACAGAAATACAATACTGGCTCTGCGCATTAATTATTTCAGTGGATGATACTGAAATTCATGTTATAAATTTGTGCAATTAAAATAGTTCTGCTCTTCCTACAACTTGCTGGCTTGCCATCTCTCTGCATGCTGGTGTGGCACAACCCTTCCCCGAAGGACATACGCTGCCTCTGCTCTGGAGATGTTGGAACAACCTTCAGGGTCCTTCTGTGGCATCACATCAATGAGCTAGAATTTGCACGTTAGCCCTGAAAATACCCACTTGCTTTTCCCGTCAAAAAAGCAGAAGAAGCAAGCACCCCGACAGGAAGCGAGAGCCCTGGGCTTTCTCCCTCTATCATTGCCCAGATCAGGAGGAAAGCGAGCCGCGGTAGCACCGCCAGCTACATCACTCCACTTGCCTGCCTCTGACTTAGGGTGTCCCTTGCCCTCCGGCCTGAGTAGCTCGAGGGCACAGAGCCCAGCTTTCACCCTTGGTCCTTCCAGACTGGGCCTCTGAGGCACCAGTGACGTCAGAGTGCACGAAATCTGACCACTGTTTCCTACTGAGAACTTGGGCTGCACCTTTCCAAAGGGTGGAGCAGATCAGAGAACCAGACCCCTGCCTCCCCTGGGATTCTGCCACCAGCAACCATTTCTCCAGGGACAGGGTGGGATGCTTACGTCCATCAGGGCGGCGTTGATGTAGTTGCTGCTCTCGCCGTCGATGGTGATGAGGAAGGGCAGGCAGCGGTCTGGGGGCAGGATGTCCATGCAGCGGTTCTTCTCGTGGTTCCGGGGCAGGAGCGCGATGCTGCAGTCCTCCACGCGCAGGGTCGGTGTCACCATGTTGAGGGTCTGCAGGTGAAAGGCAGGCGGTGACCTCTGGGGACTGCAAGCTCGTCCGTCCCCTGGCTCAGCAATTCAAATGCGCATATGGGAGCATCACGGTGCGCCCCATCAGGAAGGAGATGGGGACAGTTCCTAGGTGACACGCTCCTTAATTATCTTATAGCTCTTTCTAGAATCTTTTCAGACCATCACTGAAACTTCAGATAAGGGGACTATGATAGCACGCTAACTACAGCGGTGACATTTTTGGAAGACCGCACGAGGAGGAGAGGGGCTCACGCACTTCTGTGTCAGGGCTGTGCGAGGGACATGTAAGATCCTGGGCTGACGGCTACATGGCTCCTCCCGCAGCTCCCCAGGATGACTTTTTCTTTACTTGGATTCAGCCCACCAGACACGGCACCAGAGAGGCACAGCAGGTGCCGTGGGGCCATGTAGTGCTGGAAGCTGGGGACTGCGAAGGAGGGGATGGGTGGTTCTCCCTGGAGCCACCAGACAGCCACCAGCCTCTGGATAAAGCTAGAGTGCAGGGAATGCAATGGAGAAAGAATTCCCCAGAAAACTCTTACCATACATGTCCACAGCCTTCCTGCACTCTAGGTTAGCTACACTGGGAGCAGGGGACCTGGGGCGCGGTGGGGACCCTTGTGTCTGCTTGGGGGAGGCCAGCGGTCTTCAACCAGCCCTTTCCAACGCCAGCCCTGGGGACGTCCGAGGCTGTCCACACACCTTGGCATGCTGCTGGTGTTGTGGACATTCAGAGGCAGAGCCCAGGAGAGGGCTGAAGGTCCTGTACAACAGCCCCGTGACCAGGAGGCTCCAGCCCAGGCGTCCGCTGTGCTGAGGCTGGGGAGCCAGGCCAGGCTCAAGGCTCAAGCGCTGACTCTGAGATCAAGCCCACACCACTCGCCTCCCCCTGTAGGACTCACCCGGAACTCCTCTTTAATCTGGCTGGAGTTTGTCTGCGGGTCCAGCTTGTTCATGTCGTAGTACAGAGACCGGACTTGGGAGGCAGGGATGGAGGTGTCTCCGCAGAGACAGGCCTCCAGAATGGCATCATGGATGAACACATACTGCTCCTGGAGAAGCAGAGAGACCAGTGAGGGATGGGGAGGCGGGCGGCTCCAGAGAGCTGGGGGTGGGGGCCCATCCATGCCACCAGGATCACAGATACTCCCAGCGACCCTCGCGGAGAGGAGCAAGCTCCAGGGCTCCCTCAGCAGCGCCTGGAAGGAGTTCGTGCCAAATGCCACGCAATGGGCCAGATGCAGTCACAGCAGGCCCGATGGTACATGGTAAGCAGACTCAGAGAACGTTTAAGAAGGAAAACCTGGAAACAGCGCCCTGAATCCCACGCAAAGAACTCCTGCCAGTTGGAAGGCATGCATCCCATCGCCCCTGCCACTTTCCAGAGCAGCTCTGGAGTCCTCTTTCCTGAGTATCTTTAGTTACGCTGCTGTGGCTGCCTTGATATCCTGAGTGGAGTGGATTCAGAACATTCCTTTTGTGGTCATTTGACCTCAGGGAAGGGCTAGAAGTCGCAGAGTGCCAGCAGGAGTGAGCCAGCTCAGTGAGGACACAGTGTCATGCTTGTATTGGACAGAAATTGCTGCAAGCCTTTTGAGTCCATTCAGGACAACCAGGTAGCCTTGAAAAGACACTCATGAAAGAGGACTTCCAGAACTGAGGCAGAAAGCAACAAGATCAGTGGGCTAAGGGTATTCGAAATGAGAAATGTTTTGCGGGGATAGAGTGGCTTTATCTGCCTTACTATATATTTTGATGACACCTTCAGTAGCACTATAGCAACTGGTTACAGCGCCTCTGTCATCCTGATCCGCAAGTTTGGAAGTCGCTATTTCAGGGGAAAGAGTATAAGTGCGTCTATGTGAAACAAGAATTTGCTACCCAATTAATGATGCAGAGAAGGCCCAGGGCACCCTGACTTGCTCTGAAGACAGTTTAGAGCACTGGGAATGACTCACTTAAAAACCCAAATGTGGACGTTCCTGTGAGCCCGACATACGGCTCCTGCACACGTGCACAAGTGTCTACCTCTTAGAAATGAGATGCACACACCTACACGTGCACAGTGCGCACACACCGGGCCGGGCGCGGCTCAGCGGCAGAGCGCCTGCTAGCGCGGACGGGGCCTCCGGCTGGGTCTCTAGCACCACAAAACAGCAAGCCTAAAGGTGGAGCTTCCCATCCTGTGAGGCACTGACTTTCCCTGTAATTTGGTAGCGTTTTACCGGCTTGCTATTGATCTGTAATTAGAAGAAATCTTCCAGCATCCCTGACTGACATCATTTTCTGTGACAGGATCTTCAGCTCTCAAAACCTTCAGTTCGCTCCTACTAAACCTCTCTGCAAAAACGAAGACAAGCGGGAAGATGATCGTGGCAACAACGGAAGTGCGTTAAAATACGTTTTTATCATCTTCATCCTTAAAAAAAAAATTCCTACTCTAAAAAAAGGGCACGAAGCAGAATTTAGAGTTTGTTAGTTTTACGTGAGCTAGCAAGATGGAATTAGGGGTCCCCGTGGTTTTGTAAACTTTAATGCACCATGGAAACCCAAGGGACTCTAGTTTTTTCTTTTTCGTGCTCTGTGAATTATCTTCCAGGTGGAGGGCTGTAGCGCCTACTGAAAATGATCAAATATTAATAAAAACATGACTGTCCTAGGAATAGGATGGAATACTTCTCAAAAATTAAAATCTGATATGCCTCTGCCTGTCAATTTCCAGTCACTCCTTGGTATAAAGTCTGACTACAAAATGGACCAATTCCCACAGTGCCAGGCCGCTGGGCAGAAGCATCAGGGACAAGAGGCTCCTGTTTTTCCTCTTGCCCTGAAGAAGAATAAAATGTGCAGAGACTGCTCCAAGCCACTTGGCAGAGGCCCAGCTGTTCTCAGGAGTGGTCTCGCTCTGGTTCCCAGCTAGTTTAAAAGATGGAATAAAAGAAACTGCAAGGAAACCAGGAGGCTTAGTGTGGAGATGCCACTGGGTCGCTTGACACAGAAAAGCAAGCCAACTTTGGCTCTCAGCTAGAGTTACCTGGAAAGCTCCTGTCACGACATCCAGCCTGGAAACTACTTTTCTGTTTACTCATAGGAAAGCCCCACGGAGAAAGGAGGGAGGGACCCAGGATCCCAGGGCCACAGCTCTGTGGCCAGCAGCACCTGCAGCGCAGCTGGCAGGCTTCCTGCTGCCTTGGGCTCTGGAGGGGCACTGGGGCACACCAGACAGATGCGCGGGGTGGCCCTACCTCTGTCTGCACCATGTTCACTCTCCGGGACCGCAGCTCCCGCACACAGTTGTAGATGTCCACCACCCCCTCCCGCTCGGCCATGTCCAGCATGATGTCGATGACAATGAAGCAGCCTGTCCTCCCGGCGCCAGCACTGGTGGAGAGAGGGCTCTGTCAGTGAGGGAGGGGCCCTGTGTATCCTCTTTGCCTGATTTATTTATTTATTTTCTTTCTTTCTTTTTGGTGGTGCTGGGGATTGAACCCAGGGCCTTAGCACGGAGCTATATCCCCACCTGTTTTTCTTTTACATTCAAGTTTGTATCATGTTTTGATCTGAGGAGTTTTCTGGAGAGCTGACGATAGTATGCAAAAGCAGCTCATTTTTCATCTGGAGACCTGATATTGTGAAGTTGCTATGTTGCGCAGGGTGGGCTTGAACTCGTGATCAACTGCCGTAGCCTCCCACCCATACCAGATGATGGGTATGGGCTGCCATAGCCCTCTATGAGCTGCCTCTTTAAATTTTTATTTATCTATTTATTTACTTTTTTGTGGTACCGAGGATTGAACTCAGGATCCTGTGCTTGCCAGGCAGGCACTTATTCTACTAAGCTATCTCCCCGGCCCTTAAAATTTTTTTGAAGGAGGCACTCACACAACTAACCATCAAAACACAGATACATCAGGATTCAGCACACCCTGTGCCAGACAGCCCCTGTATCCAGTTCCAGAGCACCCAGGGGTCCACCGGGCATGGCTCACCTGCAGTGCACCACCAGGGGGCCCGCATTGGGTGGGCTCTTGGACTTGACCTGCCGCACGAATCCCAGCAGGCCAGTGGCGTGGTAGGGGACCCCGTGATCTGGCCAGCCCGTGAAGTGAAACTGTCTGATCTCTCGGATTTCATGGATGCCTCGCTGCGTTCCCCGAAAGCCACAGCAACAGGGAACAAAGGTGGGGGAAAAAAAAAAAAAGATAAGCAAGAGCAACCAAGGGAGCACACAGCACACCTAAGTAGAAAGCTCTAGGACCCTGGGGCTAGAAAGCAGTGCACCACTGGGGAGGAGGCCTGGCTTCCATCCTGCGCAGCTAGTGCACCCCAGCTGGCGCCTCCAGAAAGATCTGGGTGGGTGGGGAGGGGAGGTGACATCAGGGGAAAACATTATGGTGCGTGCACAATTCCCCTGGGCAGATGGATCCTTTTGGTTCTTTGAAATCCCTTTCTGAAAAGGGGGCTGTAGGAAAAGCTGCCCAAACCAGCTGCTGAAATGCAGGACTCCTGCTCGTGCTCTTGTGTCCTGGTCCCGTGCCACCAGGCCTCATGTAGCCTCACACATGGCACACACTGTGCACGGGCAGAAGTGTCCGCTGGAGGGAGGAATGGACGAGGGCCGCTTTCTGCACAGATGGCTGGGAACGCACCTGCGCAGGCAGTGCAGCTTGCTAGGGGTTTCCCTTTAATTGAGGTCAACTTATGACCCTTTCAGCTGGCAGGGACAATCTTGTGACCCCAGGGCTCCAAGCAACATACAAGTGAGGAGGGTGGAGAGCTACCAGGTCACTGAGTGGCCGTCCCAGAGTGCCGTGGGAGCAGGCTAGTCACAGGGGCACACAGTGGGGACGTGAGAGGTTCTGCTGGAGTTCTAAGGGTGACCAGGACCCAGAACAGGTGGCACAGAGAGCGCAGGGTATGCTTGTGTTGGTCTTTTGACTCTTGTTTTGAGAATAACTGAATAGACTCACACACAGCAGGTTTATTTTCTAAGACTATGTTTTAAGGCAAAAGTTTGTTTTGAAAACAAGAATTGCTTTTGAAGCCAAGGCTGTGTGTAAATCTGCAATTAAATTTCACTTTGTCTCTTACTGGAGAGCCATTGATGAGACATTGCATTAGGCCTTGGCTTTGGGTTTTGATTCTATCTTAAAGCTAAATACACACATTAACCTTATCATGTTTCCCATCAATCATCCCTCACACATACTTACTGAACAAAGAACAAATTTAGAAATGTTTATGTGCTTGGAAAGAGATGGAGGATGTAGATTTTAAGATAAGACCCATTTGCTATAGGCGTGCTGATGTCTCAGCTTACTAATCTACAAATGTTGAAGACTTCTTTTTCTATCAAAACACTGTTTGTTCCTAGGGTTTAAGCTGCGAGGAATTAAGCAGTCGAGGATTCACAGTGTGAATCCGCACCATCATCGCTAAGTAGGCTCAGTGACCCCAGAGCAGTGCCTCCCTGCAGGTAGAGCCACATTTCTTATTGCTGAGAAGTGACATGATCTGGCCGGCCCCAGGCTCCACCAGAAGACAGGCAGTGGATCCTCTGGCTTTAGCTGCAGGGGCTTGGGCGGGTGTGTGCGGGTGTGTGTGTGTGTGTGTGTGTGTGTGTGTGTGTCAACTGTGTGGTGGATAGTCCACGAACTGGGACAGCAATAACTCCTTTTCCATGCCACTGGGGGGGCTGCTTTCTGGCCAGCATAGCCACGCCCGAGCCCCGTCCGTCATGAGATGGGCTCCCGACTGACTCATCAGACTCATTTTCCGGAGCAGAGTGAATGTGTTTCTGAAATGCAGAACATTTGCTCCAGGACAAAGCCTGTCCTCTGCTATGTCTGTTGTTGACAAGATTAGCAGAGGACGTTGCTTCTGATCCAACCTGCATCCTCACTCTGGGACGCTGGCTTCTCCTTTGCCTGCCTCATAAACTATTTGGAGAAGAACGTCACCGATGCGACCCACGCTCACAGCCCAAACACTTCCTAAATGCACGTTAATGACATTTCTCTTTAGTCTTCATTATAAGAGTGTTGATGCGATACACATCAGTGACAGGCACTTAATTGTTCCATGCAGTTGAATGGGAAGCAGAATCCACGTCATGTCACAGTACTCAGTGCAGAGTGGGTGTACTGGAAAGGTCTGGGGAGGGACTGAATCACTGGGTGCCCGCTCTGTCTGGGACAGGGATCGTGTGTGTTTCCATGGTTTGTCGGAGTCCCGGGCACCTCTAGGTAGAGTTAAAGGGACAGGCTCAGGCCAGGCGGGGATGGATTTATAGCCTGAGCTTGTGTGTGGCAGGCACAGCTGGAGAGGGCGTAAGGGAAGTATCCTATGCAAGACAAAGCGCTTGGGCTCCTAGCGCAGTGGCCGCCATTTCCGAGGAGTGCGGAGACCCATTTCTCACCTGTACCTCTCTTCTCACAATGTGCTGTCAAAGGGAACCGGGATTGGAGGTATTTCAAAGTGCACCCTAACCACTTTGTTCCTTTCTATTTTAATGAGAAAGTTTCATACCTAAAAGAAGTGTTTTACAGAGGCTCAACGGTTTTCCTAAAGATTCCAATGGCCCCCTGGAAAATCTTGCATGTGTCATTTTGAGTCCCCAAGTGCATTCACAGTCCCTCTCCCTTCCCGCCTCTGCACGGGTTGTCTGAAGAGTAAAATAACTGGGTGTTTCTTAAACATTTCTGTGCAGCCGGGAACGTAGCAGAGTATAATAAGAGGTTAAAAAAAGAGCAAAGAAACAAATGAACCTTCCTTTAGCAACAGAGATGCACTTCCAGCTTATTAGAGAGCTGACTACTGTTCAAAGAACTCCATGTTTAAGCAATGGCTTAAGAAAAAAATACTGAGGGTCTCATATTGCTCTCTGTTTTTAGGCAGTTATTCACGAGTCCTCTTGCCCAGAGCCACACAAAAACCCTTCATGTGTTTTTCCCCAATCCTGTCTATGAAGGAAAAAAAATCGACATCAAAGTGTGAGGTTCAAAACTTGGAGAACTGAGTCAACCAGAACCTCACATTCTTTGAAGTCTCTGAGCTTCCTGCCTGCTTATTAAGAAAGACAGGCAAAGGGGAAAAATGCTAAAGAGTATGTGAAACAGATGAAAATGAACTAAAGAGATTCTATGACAAATCTGGCTTTGCAAACCAGGAACTGTAGTTCAGATCATCAGCATAAATTAGCCAATAAGCACTCAGTATAATTTCCTGGATTTCCTAAAACTGGGCTTATGAATCCCACAAATGCATCTGGTGTTGGGGGTGCAATAGGAAGAGGAAGGTCAAGAGCCAGGATCCGGCATCTGCCTCTGGCCCAGGTCCTGCCAGGGCGCCTGCTCCCCTCACACGAGCGGGCATGGCCCAGCCCCACATCTGGGAGACCTGGTGGGGTGGGCCCTGGGCAGCACAGCCCGTGGGCCCCTGCCAGTGCTCCTCAGCCGTCACCTCCTCCTTCCCCGCGCCTACCTGTGACACTTCTTGGGATGGACTGCAGTTTGCTTCACCTCCGGCCCCTCCCTATGTCAGCAGAAAGAGGGGATAAGGAAATTCCCTGTTACGCCCTCCAGTGCAGGAGGCGGAGCCCCACCCATGCGTGTGGGAAGAGGCTGGAAGAGTGGCCACATGGGGTCCCCAACCCCACATGGGCAGCTGCCGAGCGCTGATGCCACTATGGCAGTGAGCATGAAGGAGGGCAGGGCCACCATGCAAGCTCTCTTCTGGCCGTGGGCAGAGGCCACGTGGTTTTCCAGGTAGGCTAGGTCTGCCAAGAAAACCTATCTGTCCGTATTGAATGGAGCCTGGCAGTACTGTGGAGGAGTGCATGACCCCAGGGATGGCTAGCAGCTGCATCTCAGCAGCAGCCCTCAGTGGCTCTGGGACCCCCACAGGGCCCTTCCGCAGGGAGGGGCTCTAGCAGACTTCCAGGACAGGTGGCAGCCCTCAACAGGCCTCGCTGGGTGCACAAAGAGAAGGGCAGGATCGCACCCGGCGGGGTAGGCACAAAGAGACAGACTTTATCTTCCAGTTTAGTTGCAAATTCACGAATTGTTATGAAATGGACCCAACTGGCTGCAGTGGCGCTGAGCTGTTATAGACTCCGGGTCAGGATGTGGCCTTCAGAAGCCGCCTGTGCTCACCAGGACCACAAATAAATTGCCCGGGATAAGTCAACGAGGTTAGCACACTGCCGCTCTAGCTCTCCATCTTACCTTTTCCACAGCAAATGTCCTTATCACATATTCCGCCAGCAGTTCTGTTTCGATTAGGGTAACCTTAATGTCTTTGTATATTTCTGTGTCGTCTGGCCAGTATTTGCAGCATTTGACCTTAGGAAACAGAAGGAAATTAAAGGTTCAGTTTTTCCTTAGCTCCCCTAAGGGCGGGAGGCGCTACGGGGGGCAGGCTGAGGTCTGCATGCAAACCCAGAGGTGAAGCCCACCCTCTGGGCAAGGGCTGTGTCCTCCCACCATCTGTTTTAATTCCAGCAAGAAGCAAAACGTGAATCATGGGAGGAGTGAAGTTCAGGAAAGTGGCCCAAAGCTGACAAGCTGCATGACGCTGCCACGTCCCACTCACAGTGGCCACTCATGTCCTCTGTGCCTGTCCTCAGGGGACGGCCAGGGAACATGAGCCCTGAAAGGAAGCTTGCAGCATTTCCCTTGCTCTCAATGCTGAGTGTCTCCTAGTTTCAGGAAGACAGGAGCAGAAAATCAAATTTGACACTAAAGATTGGAGTCCTTTATTTTCTGAAGGAGGAAGGAGCTCTGTGGCCGGCGCAGGTTAGAACAACAAAGTCATTTTATTTTATTTTATTTTATTTATTTATTTTTTTTTTTGCGGAACCGGGGATTGAACTCAGGCCCTTGCGCTTGCCAGGCAAGTGCTTGTTCTACTGAGCCATCTCCCCGGGCCCAACAAAGTCATTTTAATATAAGCAGTGAAAAAAACTTGACAAAATAGGGACACAGTCTGCACATTAGCACAACCTCTGCCTGGAGGGTCTCTCAGGCAGAAGAAATGCGATAGGCCTATTTCTGCCCAGGAGTTTTCTTTGCATGTGCTGCTTGCAGGTATGAGCAAAAGCTCGGCGTGAGTGAGGCCTGGAGCTGCCTGGGAGACAGACCGTGCTTCTAAGGGTTTTGTCCCAGCTCTTACGCGTCTCTGAACAAGCGTCCCCGCCCCTCTGGGGGTGCATTTTTATTCTGTCAGTCTGCGTCTGCGGCTCTAAGTGCCTGACTGAACTTCTGGCTTTTTCTGTGGGTGTCGTCCCCAGAAGTCTTTGCCCACACGGCCAAGTCCGATGTCTATGGGGCCCTCCCTGTTCACACCCCTCACTCTCTGGCTTCCTTGTCATGCCCCTACAAGCTCCTCCTGCACTCAGTACAAAGCCCAGCCAATTCCCTGGCCCGGGAATGCGGCCAAGGCTAGGCTCGCCCCTTCGAGAAGCGCCCAGATGCGGTTTCCGACCTGTCACCCCTCTGCCGCAAACAGCCTCAGGTTAGGCGCCAGTCTGCCTGCGTGAGCCCCGGACAGCGCACAGCAGAAAAGCCCGCTGCCAGCGTAAGCCCTGCGCATTCGCTCCGCTGCCCTGGGATCGCCCGCTTCTAACCACCGTCCGTGAAATTAAACAGATTCCTCAGCCGCGTGGAAGGAACCTGGAAAACTTGGCCCGAGCCTTCCAGCCTTATGTCACCGCTCTCCTTTCCACCCGCTTACGTTTTGTGTTCAGATGTGCAGTTTAATCTCCAAACAGCCCAACTCCTATTCGAGACCTTCTGCCGCCAGTGTGCTCCCAGCCGGCCCTCCCCAGCAGGGATGCATTTCCGTAACTCAGAGGACATCTCAAAGTCACACCCCCACGCCGGTTCCGCCCACACGAACTCCCTGACGCTGATGAAGTGAATCTGCCGGAAGCGACGCCGCTGCCCTCCCATCACGCTCCGCACCTCCTGCGCCGGCCCCAGGCAGGCGCTTCGCCTTGCTCTGCTCTCCCAGCCGGCAGCAGCGGGCGGCACACCGCAGGTAGCACTACAGGCGGCTACGCAGAGAGCCGACTCCCAGCGCCAGCCCCGGAAGGGAAATCCAATGCCTGGGAATTGAGAGGAAAGCACCTCTACGCCGTTGGAGGGAACGCAAACTAGCACAACCACGTGGAAATCAGTACGGAGATTCCTCGAAACACTAAAGCTCGAGATTCCATTTGAGCCAGCTCTTCCCCTTCCAGGGATCTTCCCAGGAGCCTTAAAGACAGGGCATTCCAGTGATCCATGTGCACACACGTTTACAGCAGCAAAACTCGCAGCAGCTGCCTCGTGGAGCAGCCTAGGTGTCCATCGACAGACAGACAAGTGGTACAGAAAACAGATTTATACACAGTGGAGCACTGTGTGCTACGAAAGGACAAAGCTCAGTCATTTGTAGGAAAATGGGTGCACCTTGAGACCATATTGTGTGGAATGAGTGAGACACACAAGTTTAAACATCGGATTGTTTCTTTTCTGAGAAACCTAAAATATAAATAGAAATACAAAAGAACACAAAACAAGGAGGTGGATCTTTTGCAAGTGGGAGGAGCCCAAGAGGTGGAGGGAGGTGGAGGAGGAGTGAAAAGAGTGGAGACCACTAGGTGTGGCCCCCCACTCCATGCAGTCATCATGGACTGCAAACACTAAGTCATACACAAATGCTGAGAGGAAAGGAGAGCCACCTGCACGTGGGGAGGGCACGGAGCTTCTCTTCTGGGACTGCTCTCTTTGACAGCAGCGCTCTCCCAAAGGTCCAGGCCAAGGGCAGGTTCCATACCTTCTGCCTATGCCGTGCACAGCACACAAGTTGGCCAGGCCTGGTGCTGGTGGCCTGGGATACCAGGTGGGCACAGCCTGGTGGTGGCCTGGGCCTGCGGATGCAGCAGTGCCTGCTCTGAGCTCTGGGCTGGCAGGATGTGGGGGATCATGTGGAGTGTGGATTCCCTCTGGGGTGCCCCAAGGAGCTGGTTGGGTTCTGGTCCTCTCCATAGCATCCCCCAGAACTCCTGAAATGCTGTGCCACATCCGTTCGCAGCTTCCTGAAATCTCTTCTAAGCTGTGTTCCTTTTTAGTGCCTTTTAAATTGCTTAGGCTTGGGTCAATTTAATATTTCATTTTAAATAAAGGGAAGAGAAAGTATGCTTCCCTTTCTCCCCTGTGACACTTGGCATGTCAGGGCACCCTGGAGTAGATCACACACAGGACACTGCCATGCTGTTGGGCAGCGCTGTGCCTGCTCCTGCCTCCTGAGGTCCGAGACCCTGCACGTCTTCCAGCTCAGGCTCTGTGCTGCGTCTCACGCACAGCGGGCAGGCAACGGCCTCCAGCCAGAAGGCGAGGAGCAGAAAGGTCTAATCACCTCGGTGCCCAGCACCGGCCCATCTAGCCATCAATCATGTGCACAGTGCTTTGCAGGTGCCTGCTCGTTTCCACTCAAGGGCTGTGGGAGGCGGCCCAGTCTCTGCTGCCAACAGGATCAGCTTGGCTTTTGGATGCACTAAGGACTTCCAATTCACAGCAACAGCTATCGGAATGCTTACTTTCTCCTGAGCAGAACCTGAAGCCAGGGCCTTTGCTCCAGGGCTACATTCCTAACCCTTAGGGTTCTGCTAAGTCTTTAGGCTCGGCTGGAACTTGTAATCCTCCTGCTTTGGCCCCTGAAGAAAAATAAAAGAGAACTGAGTGCTGTTCTCTTTTAAAATAAATAAAAGATTCCACAGAGTGCTGGGATCTCAGGTGTGTGCCGGGAATCACCTAACCAGCACCCAGATGATCCCCGGGCCAGTGAGGCCAGCAGTGTTGGGGGTCAGAGTGCCACTCTCCAGGGAGTCCACCTGTACCCTGACCTCCAGGGTATCCTGCCACCGCAGGAGCAGCAGCTCTAAGGTTCTAAACCAGCAGGTATCAGAAGCCCTTGGGGGGAGTCTCTGAACGCAGCAGACCCAGGATGGTGGGGCAGGAGAGCACAGCTTGAGGTGATGCTGAGGTCTGTGGCTGCACTGGGCAGCAGGACTGAGACCACACCTCGGGCCTGCAGAGCCCTCAGGGCCAGAGGCCACGCTGATGGGGGCTGGGGAGGTGGCTCTATGCTAGGATGACTTTGGGGGAATGTCTAGCCGAAGCCCAAAGTCCAGGCCACATTCCAGCCCAAGGAAACCACAGCTTCTGGGTGGGCACAGCCCCAAGGTTCCTGAAACTGCCAAGAGATCCTGAGAATGGATGAATCTGGGAAGCCTGGGTCAGTGACTCAGAGCAGCGGAGGTGTCGTGCACGTGTGTGCATCCCTGGTGCTCTCACTGCTCATGCTGATTCTTAAGTAAGAATTCTGAGGTCTGGACCGCAGGCTACTAGGGGAGGTCAGAAGGCAAGGAGCCCGCTGAGGGCCGGGAGGGAGGAAGGGAGCAGGGCTTCCAGGGAGCGCTGGGCGCCAGGCGCCATGCAGGGCTCCCAACAGAAACCTGTGTTGTTCTCTTCCACAGGCCTTGCCCCTGGGAAACAAGAGCGCAGGGAAAGAGGCTGGCACATCTGCCCTCCTGCTAGCATGCTCCGGTGCGATCTGAATACAGACCAGGAAACGGCACCTGTGTTGTGGGAAGACCCGAGTTTAACAGCGCCGCGGTCACAGCGCCCAGACCCTCATTTCCAGGATCCGAGGAAGCGGATGGCGGTGCTCTCATGGCTGAGGCCTCGTCCAGCAGAGGACCGGGGTGGGGCGGGGGCCAGGGCTGACCGCCAGCCTCCTTAGTCCTGCTCTGGGACACAGAACTGGAAGGCAGTCGGGGAGGTCCAGCAGCTGGCTCAAGGTCCTGCATGCCACGGTGGTGGGGCGAGGAGGTCGCTGGGTTTGGACGCCATCTCCACGCAGGGCTGAGTGGGTGGGCAGAACCCAAGGCACAGATACTCTCCTCCATCGTGCTAGGCGGTTCTGGCTTCGGGAGGAGACATCAAGCGGGAAGTCTGAACGGCCTTTGCTCTCATGCCTTGATCTGCAGCCGCTAACAGCTGCAGGGCCTCGTGAAGCCGGGCAGAATGTGGCCATGGAAGGTCAGTGTGCAGGGCAGAGGACTTGTTCTGCTAAGAAATCGTGATTGACAGGGACACAGAAGCTGGGTGTTAGCTCTTAAGGGCAGGACCCAATAAGCACAGCTTCCGAGGGACAAAAGGAAGAGAAAAGAAAGAGGGGGCTACTAGCTTTGACTTGTTAAGTATAAGAAGGAGACATCCAAAGGAGAGTAACTGTGCTTCTATTAACAGCTGTGCCCAGCCTGAGGAGCATGGCTCTGTTGGTGACTAGATGGAGCAGGGCCTCTGCCCGGAAGGTCCTCTACTGCCTGAGCCACAAGCATCTTCCAGCTTTGTCTCCAAAGAACGGATTTTCTGTACCCAAAATACCCATATAGAGATCTTCCAGGAACAAGAACACTCGCTCCATTAAGCATCCTGACAGTACAGGTGCTGTGACTGCAGGGGAGGGTCTACGATGGACAAGCCTTTGTTCCAGCTCATCTGACTTGTCTCAGTCGTGTTCTGTCACTATGATAGATACCTGTGATAATCACATGGGAGGAGGAAGGGTTTACTTGGGCTCCCAGTTTTAGCGGGTTCAGTTCTCGCTCATTTGGGTCTGTGGTAGCCCAGTCCATTGTGGCGAGGTGCCGTGGAAGGGGACAGTTCACCTCATGACGGCCCGGGAGGGTAGAGAGAAAGGAAGGGGCAGGCTGCCAGGATCCCTGTGATAGCCCGCCCATGTTCCCAGTAGTGCCCAGGGCCAGCCTTCAGTGGTAGTCAAGATCTGAAGTGTAACACAACCAAAAAAGGAAATGTTGTTCTAGGATTTTCTTTCTCTCTCTCCCTCTCCCTCTCCCCGTCTCCCCCTCTCTCTCTGGCGGAACTGGGGATTGAACTCAGACACTTGCACTTGCCAGGGAAGCACTTATGTATTCCATTATTTTTGATAAACATGGACACACAAATCCTTCACAAAATACCTGCGAATCAAACCCAATAACAAAGTAAAAAATTCATATACCATAATGAAGATGATTTCATTCCAGAGACATAAGAGTGGTTCAACGTATATACATCAATATATAATATAGAGCATATAAGTAGAATTAAAACTAAAAATCATGCTATCACCTCAGTTAATGTAGAAGAAGCCTTTGGGAAAATTCAGTATTCCTTCATGATACGAGTCTGAAGAAACTAGCTGTTGAAGAACCGTTACTCAACAAAGTAAGACATGTACACTGTATCAGACAAACCCTCAGCCAATGTCATCCTGAATGGGGAAAACTGGAAGTGTTTCTTCTCAAATCAGGAGCAAGATATTTACTTTCACCACCTCTGTTCATTATGGTTCATGAAACTTTAACCACACAACTAGGCAGGAGAAAGAAATAAAAGGGGTAAATTAGAAAAGGAAGAAGACAAATTATTTCATTTTGTTGATATACACTTAGGAGAGCCTAAATATTCCACTGAGCCTTTTAGATCTGATAAATTCAGAAAAATAAAATGATACAAAATAATATTTTAAAAAATCAGTAGCTTTTTTACATACCAAGGAGAAACTAGCTGAGAAAGAAATTAGGAAAAAAGTTTACATTCATAATAGCCTGAAAACCACCTAGGAATCAGCCCTACCAGGGAGTGAAAGAGCTCTACAGAACCCTAAAGGGAGGAAATGAAGAGTACTCTCAGAAATGGAAAGAAATGCCCTCATGTTCATGGACTGATTGGCAGAATTTGTATTCTTTGGATGGCCAAGTTACCAAAAGCAAGCTATGTGTTCATGGGATCCCCACCAAATTTCCAATGATGCTCTTTACAGAACCAGAAAGATGCAAGCCTGTAGTTCACATGGAAGCGCAGCAGAGCCGGAGCAGCCACAGCAGCCCCTCTCTTCCCCCACATCAGGGTCGCAGTTCAGATCAGGGACCCGTGCAAGTCACAGGACCATGATGGCTCCACATTTTCTAATGTGCTAAGGGGGACACTAGCCAGGTGAAATGGCTCTGACTCCGAAAATCATTGCCCCTGCATGCAGTTTTTGTGGGGTATGTGTTAGCTCTTTGAAGTAACTCAAAACCAGGAGAGGAGACTCTCAGAAGAGTCAAGAATCGATGTTTCCACCAGGGGGTGTGATGCAGAGCCAAGGGCTTGGAAGACTGCAGCGCTTGCAATGCAAGACCTGCCTGAGTTGTCCTTTTTGTAGTACGAGGACCTTTACACTGAGCTACATCCTCAGCTCTGTTTTGAAAAACTGGAGACAGGGTCTCAGTCTGAGCCTGAATTTATAATCCTCCTGCTTCAACCTCCCAGAATGCTGAGGTTTCTGGCATGCACCACCATGCCTGGCTGACGGGCCTAACTCTTGACTGCGTGTCATCTAAGCAGTCCTATGTATGTGAATGAATCAAGTGAAGAGACAAAAATGCCCCAGCCGGACTTTGGATGCCCTCCCAGCATCCAGAAAGAGTCCATTTTTGGGGAAATAATGGATGCACTTTCTTCCTCTAAAGACCTGCCCATCCACGGGGTTCACATAGTAAGGGCTTGGTGGGTGTATGCAGTAGATGCACAAAGCTGCAGCTGTGAGTCCAGGGTCAGGGTCTGAGTGGCTCCTTCCTCGCCCCATGCTTGCCTGTGTCCTTCTCCACTCACTACCCTGCTCTATGGTGACTCCAGCAAAACGTCTGTCACTCCAGCCAACCTGAGTGTCACTCACACTTGCCAGTGACTGCTGCAGCTGTACCCTGCTTGAATGCACTAGTGTCCTACTGTCTTCAAAGGACATCCCCAGCTGCATGCTCCCTGACCCCAACCTCTGCAGCCAGTAATCCAGGAAAAGCGAAGTAGTTTACATGCTGTCTTCTTGCCAGGTGTGAAGGGATCTTCAGAAACATTGTGCATCTCTGGTTTAGGGCTGTTTCATGTCCTCACTGCTGTCAACCTGGGGCAGGGGACATGGGGCAGCAGGTTCAGCTCTAGCTCTTATCTCTGTGGGGCAGGCACCATTCCAAGGTGGAGAATTCTGGGGTCTCCAGCCAACTACAGCACATTCTTCTTGTTGATTTGCTTAATCATCAGGGAAACTAACCTAGTAAGACTGCTACTACTTCATGACTCTGAAAGAACTCAGATCAGGGACCCGTGCAAGTCACAGGACCATGACGGCTCAGATCAGGGACCCGTGCAAGTCACAGGACCATGACTCAGACTCCAGATTGCTTTGCCCCTTGTTTGGCCCAAAATTCCTTAGAAGCCTCAGGACTTGGCTGGTCAGGTAATCCATGCCTTGAGGACAGGTAGAGATAGGTCCAGGCCACTGAGCAGGTCCTAGAAACAAGGAAGAGATGCCGTGTTAAAGCAGGGGTGCCATCTGCTGCATCTCCTCATGGGCTTCAGGATGGGGTGCCTGCTGTGTAAAGCAGGGAAACCAACATTCTCTGCTCTGGGTGGGAGCAAAGCCAGGACGAGTCTGGTGCTGGGACGGCCCCACATCATCCTGCCTTGTGCTGATGGGGGAACCAAGATGCCACTGGGAAAGCTCTCTGCTGTGATGCACTGCTCCCAGGCGACCTGTCATCTGATCTCTTAGACACTGCATGGACATAGAGGCAGGCGAGTGTCCAGCAGCACACCCACACTGGCACAGCAAGGGCGAGGGGCAAAGTGAGATGACACAGGAGCCTCTGCCTGGCCAGTCAAGTGGCAGACAGGCAAGCAGCAGCCCCGGATGGAAGTGAGGTCTCTCAGGCTGGCTACTGTGGCAGAGCAGTGGGTGCATGTGCCGTAGGCAGCACCAGGGCTTGGCAGAGGTGACTGAGAAGCAGGTGCCGGGCAAGGCGCCCCGGGCACAGTGGGAAAGCCATGAAGAGCTGATCCACATACAGCTTGCAGATCCGGAGAGCCCAGGGAGCGTGCTGGGAGGAGCACTTGTTATTCATACCTGCAGATTCACTTTGATCCTGTAATATCCGGCGCTGCAGCGACAGGCGGGGCTGCTGCTGGGGTGCCAGATGAATTATAGCATATCAAGAACCAGCTCTGAACCTGGCATGCAATTCATCAATATTTGAAGAAAGGGACTTTTGCTTTTTTTTTTTTTTAAAGGGACATAATGGATTAGGCTGAATTAACAAGAATTACATGCAAAAGGGTTCATTGGGTGCGTTAAGTACAGGTCTGTTTTGGTCAGACCAAATGGCCGTGGCAAGCCTCGCTCACAGTGTAATGAGCTGGGCACAAATAAGGGATGACTTTAAATCCAAGCTCTTCTCCCACACAGAAGAAACCAAGGGCTCAGTGGATGGAGATTCCATGTGGGAAAGCAGCCGCTGGGCTCCAGCTCCGGGTTCTGCTGTGACGCCCCTCCCCCCGGGTGTCCTCCCCACCTTACGATTCACAGAGGTGACCATGTGACCTTGGTCACCAAGCCTATGGCCTGGCAGATGCAGGTAGTAGTGTGGTCACCAAAGGGGTCTTGTCCCTTTATCCTTGGACTGTGAAGGTCTCCCAAGAGTCCTTGCTCTTCTTTTCTGGGGTAAAGCTGGTGGAAAGGTCACCTACAAGTTCTGCGTTGCTTAGCAACGGAGACACTCTGAGAATGGTGTTAGGTGATGTCACCACTGTGCAGACACCGGGCCGTGTCCTGACGCGCAGCTGCAGGTGAGGCTCCTCCATACCCAGGCTGCCGGTGAGGCCTGCGGCCCCTACGCTGCACACCTGCGAGGAGTGCAGGCAGCTGCATCATGGCGATGAGCATCTGTGAGTCTGAACAGACCGACATGTAGAAGGAGCAGCACACACCAGGTTACGGGGCGTACCGCTCCACCGCGGTCTCACAGGACTTCCACGGTGTGTGAGGTCTGGACGTCACCAGAGTGCGGCATAGCCCATTCTGCGTTTTCGCCCTTTGTAGACACACAGGGAGAAGGCCTGAGGGAGAGGTGAACAAGGCTTCCAGAGGCTGTGGCTCCTGCAGGGGCAGCAGCAGAGGCACAGGAGGCGCAGAGGGCGCGAGGCTGCTCCTGCCCTGCCTGAGCACCACCTGCCCACTCACCGGGAAGACTCAGCAAGCCAGACAGGGAGACACTGCTGCTGTGCTCCCACCACAGGGAAGAGCCCTGTGGACACCACGGAAGGGAGGAGTGAGCACACAGGTGTGTGTGCACAGCCAAGTGTGCCGGCGTCACACACCGAGTGTGGGAGGGACCTGCACTGGGCCCAGGGAGTGTGAATGTTGTGCAAGACCGAGTCTGGTCTCATATATATAGGACAGTGGGAGAGAGAAAGGGTAGCCATAACACAAATCTCCTTGTGTGTACGTGTGTGCGTGCAAATGTGCTTATAAGTATATTTGTCTGTAAGAGCACTGTCAAAATAAAGTCTACAGAAGGTGGGGCTAATATTTCAGAAATGATATCAAGCGGTATGCAGAAACTTCCTGGATGTCGGTTAGAAATGCAGTCCTTAATATTTAATCTGAAGCACCTACCAAAGTTCTGTGAGATGGAAGAATAAAGGTATGTGGGTTCTCCTGGCATTAATCTGAAAGAATGTGCTTTCTTTCGGTCTCCTCCTTCTTAAAATCACCAGGCAGCCGCGCTGTCAATGAAGTGTTTCCTACCTGAACAAATCTGCCTGGCAGCTGGCCCCAGCCCTGCATTTGCTTTGTACTGCAGTTTGCCTTCCAAGGAAGCAGATTTGTTTTCCAAAATGGAGCAGCAGACACGCAGTGAGTGTTCTGGAAAGTGACTTTTCTTCCAGGCAACAGGTGTCCCTTGATCTGCCCACACAGTAGGCATGTGTGGTGTCTTCAGTAAGTGGCTTCACCACCTGCCTCAGGGACCTCAGTGGCTCCCAGTGTGGGACACAAGTGGAGATGGCAGGATCCTGGCATGAGTGGGAAGTAGGCGGAGTGAAAGGCTGCGGCAGTGGAAGGAGGTACACTGTCCAGATGGGATCCACATGGTTGTCAGGGCCTGGGATGGAGACGCAGTGAAGTCCACCTTTGGGCTTGGAGTGGAAGGCAGCAGGGCTGTGCTCAGAATGAATGACAGGTTAAATTCCTAACTTGCTCTGTGGCAGTCATGGATGGCACACCCAGAGAAGCCCAGGTTCGAGCCCCCGCTGGGCAGTAAGGCTTGGTTGAGGCTCACACCCCCACTGAAATGGTGATGGAAAACAGAAGCAGGAGGGTATGCTGAAGATGCATAAACAAATCAAAGTCTAAGATTAGAATTACTCAAGTCATAAAAAGTCAATCTTAAAATATCAAGCTCATTTAAAAAGATCGATGGAAGGGGACAGTTCTGAGGGTTCAAGGGAAAATTTCAATAATGTCTATAAAACAGTTGGCCTCTCTTCTTTTATACATGAATTTCATGTCTTGGAACCCATTGGGAATTTTGATGCAAAAAAGTACTATTAAGACTTTATTCTTGGGAGCCAGCAAGATAGCTCAGCGGACTAAGCACCTCCTTAGGCAAGCACAGGGACCACGGTTCGATCCCAGCACCAAATGTGCGCCAGCCCCATCCCCAGGACTGGCTGAGCTGGTCACAGAGTCCTGATGTTGTGGTATATGCCTGTAATCCCAGCGCTGGGGAGGCTGAAGACAGGAGGATCACTAGGAGTGCAAGCTGTGTAATGAGACCCTGTAACAACTAAGTGCATTAAAAAAAAAAAAAAGATTTTATTCTTGTAGGTGTGGTCAAAACTATTCTCGGCAGTAAGCGCTATTTCCACATTTTATAAAGGGGGCAGTCCTGCCTCTCTCTGGGACCTTCTGCTGATTTAGATGTTGGGACTGCTGCAGAAAGACATCATTGTATGTTTGTGTTGTTGTCGTCTATTGTGTGTAACAGGGGCACTTGGAATCTTGATATACCTTCCTAGTATGTGAATTTAGAAGTTAACGTGGATGTCTAATTCAAGTCTTTCAGTGGGAAATGCACAGAAATGAAGTCTAGGTCAGCTGCTTCGCGTAGGTCATGCCGGTGAGAGAATTCCTCCACCGGCTACCCTAAGCCACCTCCGCTGATGCAACAGACGGCAGCTCTCTCTGGCCCCGACTTCTCTTAAGTTGGAAACACTCGATCATCTGTGATCAGAACTCTTCACGACGGACTCCACAATAATTTTCCTAAATGACTGTGAGACCTCATATGGATTTTTTAATAAACAGTCACATTCTAATGAGGTCTTCATAAAACTGACTAAATATGTTTAGAAATCATTAGCTTAAATTACCGGTGCGAAAATCTCCTTTGGGAGGCCTGCAGATCTGGTGAGGAGACTTTGGCAGATGGATTAGTTCAGTGCCACCACGGAGGTTTTGATTCTCCACACAAGCAGTGTAAATGGGAATGTCTGGGAAACCGGCGACTGGATAGAAAACTAAATGTCCCTCCGGTGGGTTCATTAGAGAGGGAAGCAATCACAACGCATTCCAGTGCCATTTAAATGCCAGGTATGCATCTGCTGGCAGGTGCCAGGAAAACTGACAAGGGTCCCTTCCCACACCCCACGGGCTGCAGGGGCCGCACTGTGCTGACAAGGAAGTCTTAGAGAATGACAGTTCTTGGCAGAGGTACCAGGGACCCTGCTGGCGGGGAGGGCCACATCCCTGTCTCCTGCAGCAGGTGCAGGGACAGAGCAGGCCTCCCAGTGGCCCAGACAAGGGCAATTAAAGCCACCTGATGCAGACTGCTGCAGGGAAGGAGCGGGTGGCAGGCCCAGCTCTGCCTTAATGAATTGGCAGTGGGGCTGTGTCAACAAACACACATCCGTTGGCTCATGCCTAATTCATGAAGGATGTGCCACATGCGGGAGACATGGTAAGGAGGTGGTGGCTGCCCTTAAAAACCATGTCATCTTGATTTCTTGGGTGGTTTTTTGTTGTTTTCAAGCATGGCAAAT